CAATTACTCTAAGCCTCCTCAAGCTCGACAATGCTGGCAGATTAAACCAAAATCTGAGGGCCGCAAGGGCAATGGAGCTGCTTCTGCTTATGGGGACATGTGAGGAATATTGTGTAGTGAAGCTGTCATTAATAGGGACATCCTGTGCGACGAAAAGTTTGATGACGCTCGCTATGGGTAAGGTGAGTCTTTTTTGGCCACCCCAGTACTGGTTCACGTCAAGAGAGCAAACGAAAAAGCAATGGAACACCAAAAAAAGGAATAATACCGAAATCGCCAACGCCGATGCGGCAAAAGGCGAGCAGTGGGGTTGGAGCTTGCTATGCGACGACCGCTGCGAAACAAGCGTTTTGTTCAAAATTGGCGATTGGCAAGAAAATATGGTGATACAATAATGCAGAAGAAATAAAGCACAAAAATACCTACTCAACACTTCGTCGCCATGATTGATGAATGCCATAAAAGAGTAATATAAGCCAAGATATGCTCCAACAGTGACTAAGATCTGAATATTTGAGCTTTGAGTTCTGCCACCATTTAAGAGCTTATTCACAAAATTTCAGCGCCAAAAATAACAGCGCAGCTAGCGCAAAAGCGCGGAATCTGTCACAAACAATCAAAGAGAATTCATTACGGAGGGAATTCAGTGAATTAGGTATTGCAAAAACCTTCCAGATGACGGTTAGCATTCCTTCACAACAAACCTCTCTAGTCAATCAAAAAGTAGTGCAAGGATCGGCAGGCTTGTCATCTTACTCCTGAGACCTCTCTCTCACGAAACTTCTTAAAGGAATCTTCCACGGACCATGGACCAGTGGGCGGGACCGGAAGTTTTTGTGACGAAATGCATGGTAGGTACGGATCCACGTGTCGAACGCACGAACGTGAACAGGATTCACTTCAAACCTTCCCATGAACGTGGATCCGTACCTACCATGCATTTCGTCGCAAAACCACTTCCGGTCCCGCCCACTGGTCCATGGTCCGTGGAAGATTCCTTATTAAAGGCACGATCGCGGCTTGAGGACGCAAACAACGCCTTTTTGTCGTCTTTATATGGCATGGCTGCGCCCAAATAAACTTACCATGCGATCAGAAATGCCTCAACAGCGTCCAGTAATAGGGGGGGGGAAGGTCAGGACACGTATTAAGCGCTTTCGCCGCCTGGCGGCGCTCCGACCGCCCACCTCCGGACGTGGTGCGTGGCTGGCATAACGTGTGAAATCAGCTAGGTTGATTGCCGTATCAACCGATAGAACGACTGACATCTCCAGAAAGCTCAATCAACGGAGTCGCCAATATCAAGTCAAGTCAAGAATGGCTCACATTAATCAACTCCGTATACATCAGAAAGAAGGGGCGTACAGGAAATCCTTTCGGACGTATTAATGCACTTGCAGCTAGAACGCAGAACAGCGAAAACACCAACGTTGAACAAACGTGACTCACTTCTTCTTTTGCGCTGATATCCCTGCCATAAAGACCACCATATAATTTCGCAAGAACATCAAGGAGTCGAGGATGACCAGATCCTAAAACGACAAAATCATTCATTGTATCCATCTGCCACACTTCAGCAAATTGTCAGTAACAAAGTTCTTTCATTCATTCATCTTTCACCTCTAGATTGTTGACTATTCACATCTTGTATATCATTACCTTACGAGTCATCTTTGCTCATATTTCCAACAATTCAGTCCCAGAGCAAAAGTAAAGCAGTAGCGAAAGGCGCCGCATACCGCGCATAGCCTAGGGAATCAATTTCAGAACAGGTCCTGCCCATGCCGACCAATCCTACTAGGATCTGTTGATTGACGCAATACTGAAGTATGATGCAGTCCTACAAAGACTAACTACTCTCCATATCTGCCCTTCTATTTAAGCTACTGCTCCCTGGAGATCTCTTTACTTTTGCCATGCCACCAGATCCATCCAAGGTCCCGATCCACATTTCCAATAGACTCCGTCCTTCCGTGTGTTTTCGATTATCCTTTACCCATCAGCTTCACTCAAGTCTGCATATCGCATTCCTATTCGCAGGCTGTTCTTCTATTCATAAACTCCTCATTATGTATTGTATAATTTACAAGTTTCCACTGTGCACTCAAAATGCTATTTTGTCTACATAGCCCACGACTGCCTACAAATGTTCTGCACGCACACCCATACCCTCGCCTTCAAATGACCAGAAATTGTGCAATTGCAGAAATTGACGTGGCATTGGCACACGTGGCTAAATTCTCGATGAAAAGGTGACATCACGTGTGCTCAAAGATGTTCTTGAATCGATGCCACGTTGATGCCAC